ATTCTTCACAAGGGAAGTTGTCTGTGACCCCTTGGGGTTTTTTTCTGTCACCCGGTTTCAGCAGGTAGTGCTGGCTTGCTTGGGGACCATTTCAGCAGATCATACACATTAGTCAAGATCTAAAATACCTCCCTGCACCATATGCTACCTAAAGTATAATAATCCTTTAATCTGTCCACTGCATGACATCTGGGCAGTTATTTGACTTAATAACTCATGTCGATTGCTCATTTCAGTATGTATCAGAGGGGGGAAGTGCCAAAGCAGGGGAAGAGAAATGAGGATTTAGAAAAATGCCTGTGGGGAAGTGCTTTGGATCAGGGGAGACCTACCTGTGGTGTGGCAGGTGACCAAACCACCACCGAAGTGGCTGTGTAAAGGCTTTATATGAGAATAATATTATTCTGAGATAAGCACAAAACAGGACAGGAGGGAAAAGATGAGCTACCAAGACCTAAGTTACAGAAGCGCATTAATATTTACTCGATATCTCTTTATACTCTCTAGTCAGCACAACAGATGTAGCTGTGTTTTAAGACATTATAATTCATTGAAAAAGGCAACAAAGATACTCCTTCCCTCCCTCCTGTCCCCAGTAATTTCAGATGTTCACCATGCACACGGAGGGGGAGGAGGTAGAGAGACAAGCGCTGGTGGGAGAAGAATGCAATTATCCCAAAGCCTCCTGACGGGCATCCACTTCTTCCTTCCAGCTTAGCTGCTCTGACCACAGGCTGGGGGCTCGTGGGACATGGACCAGATTGAAAAAGTGGAAGCAGACAGATGGTTATTTGTAATCATCATGTAAATGTAAATCCTATAAAAATGTTTTCTTTCTAAGGGCCTGAAAGCTAGAAAGAAGGATTAAGGCATGGATATCTAGCCTAGAATAATTTTGACCCCACCACCTTCCCTCCTACCCCATAAACATTGTGCCTTTATCTCCACTTCCTTTAGACAAATTGCTGGAACCTCAGCCGAGGAAATTAATTCGGTTTCCATGTAATTCCCTGAGTTTACGAGCATTGGTTTGACCAAGGCCTGGATTTGGGGCTGAGCTGGCAGGTGCTGGTTAGCAGCTGCCTTGGGAGTGGGGGCTCCTTCTTGCTTCTTTCCCCTCATCCCTCGCTCTGGCAGGTGCATGCTCCACCTGCTTATCCCGTTGCTGGATGTGCTCCTTTCCCTGGCTACACTCCTGGCTACCTGGACACAGCCGTGCAGGGCTTTGCTTGCCTCAAAGACTGCCGTGACTGCTCTCAGACATTTATCTTGTTTGAGCAGCATCAGCTTGTTTGAGCCACAAAGAGACCGATCAAACTTTAATTAACTTCAGTCGGCAGCGCCGTTGTAGGCTGTGTGTATGGTTTAGCTGTTCTTTGCAGCTCTCCAGTCCCTCGGTGCCTTTCCAGACAGTGGGGCTCGGCCATCTGGAAGCTTTTGCCCTTGCAAGGCTTTGCCTTTTGAAACGGGAGGGTGTTTGTGCTGCTGTCAGACTCGTGGGGGGAGTAGCCCCTGGGGTACAGCTGTGCTGCAGTCCCAGGGCTGACATGCAGTGTGGGGAGGCCATCTTCCCCTTCGGCACCCCTTGCTTAGTCATAAAATCACAGAAAGGTTTGGCTTGGAAAGGTCTTAAACATCACCCAGTATCCCATGGGCAGGGACACCTTTCCTAGACCAAGTCACTCAGAGCTCCACCCAGACTGGCCTTGAACATTTTCAGGGATGGGGCATCCAGAACTTTTTTGGGCCTCACCACCCTCACAGTAAAGAATGTGAGGTAACACCCAAAACTGTAGGGAACCACCCATGCGAGCACGAAGGGAACTGTCTGTAAAATTGGAAAAAAGCAAAGTAAGAACATCTAAGAAAGAATGAGGAAGGGGAGGCTGGCAGCAACATAGTGATGCTTGTATTGAATTTTTAAAACACTAGTTTTGATGCCCTGCCAAAAGAGCCCTGAGGATGGCTGGCTTCTCATGTGAACAAAAGCCTTTTGCCTGTGTGTGGAGAGGGTGGTCTGCTCAGGCACACTAATAGTTATTTGGAAGTACCCAGCAATTGAGGATAATTGGCTGAGGAATATTCTGCAGCTCTCAATCATTTTTCTGTTTTCACAGATGGTTGTACCATTAGGTACGGTGAGTGCACCAAGATTTTCTGCAACTTTTCCATTTACTGTGCTAGTACGTGTGAACTCAACTTCCAGTTGATGGTTCTTCCTTCTGTGGCTTCCTGCACCACTCCAGGAGGACGGCCAAGCTCACCAGCTCTGCCCTCCTCTTCCCTGCTCCCTCTCTCTTGGGGTGATATTTGGATGATCTGGGGTGACTGGGCTGATCAGATTAACATCTGTGCTTTATTTCATTGTTGTTAGATTGCATTAAAATACTGAATCGCAGGAATGGCTACATGAGCTCTTTGCTCTTTACCTTGTTTTTCTCTCTGCTTTTATTCGTCTTTTTCCCTTCCTTTACCTGGCTTTTTTTTTTTGTTTGTTTTTTGTTTTTTGTTTTCCTAAAGTTAGTGGTCCCTCTCTTCCTCTAAGAGTTATTTTCTCACTTTAATTTATATTTCATGCATTCTTCTCTTATCTTTGCTTTTCTGTCTCTGCTTTTTTCTCTATTTCTTTTTTCTCCAACCTTTTTTTTTCCCCTCCAAAACACAGAATGCTTTAGATGGAAATGGAGAGATATACCTATTCAAAATTCAGGTATGTGCTGAGGTGCAGAGCAAGATTAAGCAAAGCCTGTAGCATCAATTTTGTCTTCTATTCAAGCCAGTTTTGCAGTGTGACTTTGGGTAAAAAAACATGATAAAATCAAATCACCTCTTAGCCTCATATTCTGAGGCTGATTGGAAACTTACACAGTTGCTGGGATGATTCAGAGGAAGTTAATGTAATTTGCTGTGTATCACTGCAAGAAACTGTGTTTGTCAGGTTCATATAGCAGTGTGAAATGTTCAAGGAAAATGCTTTCCTTAATATTGCTGCCAGGAGTTAGGAGTCAGGAATATAAAGCCATTATGTGGTGGGATCTGCTGATTTTTCTGGGGATTTTCCACTAATGGATTTGCACTGAAGTTCTGTAATTACAAAAAGAACCAAGCCAATAAAAATTATATATATATTGTGTGTAATAATATTAGCAGAAATTAATTTTTATCTATTTACCATTTATACAAATGTAGACATAGCATTGTGTAGGAGTACTTTTTCTTCCTGTGTATCATGGAGATCACAGAGACTGAAGCTGCTTTCTAAAAACCATGATTTTGTAAGGCTTTTTTCTGGTTCTTTCTGTGACATTCCCATGATATTGACTTTCTTGGCTTTTCAAAGTGCTGTATTGCCAATAGTCAGCAGCCCATGATCTTCATCATACTAATTCTGTGCTCTGCATTGCATAAGTTATTCTTCCACTTGATCTTGAAGTTGTATTAATTCAATTTCTGCCAATTTGATTATTGTTAATCAGAAGGTTTGTATTATGCAGAAATATTTGGGGATTGAGGTTTTTGTTGTTTATTGGGTGTGTCACCTAAGAAGACTATGGGTTCTTGCCAGAGCTGCATTTGTTGCCAGCTGCCTCCTGTCACTTTTATTTTATGTTTCAAGAGCGAGACCTAAATTGTCACTCTTTTGTGTGTGTGTGTGTGTGTTAGAAAAGGAATTAACTTCCAATTAATTCTCTCCTTCCTCTGGGATCTACCTGAGTATCCCAAAATGGAGAACAATAAAAGTTACCTCCATGTCATTAGAGTGCCAGATATACACAGTCCACTCACCTCAGACTATTCAGAGACCAATTCTTGTATGTATTAATCATATTTTTCTTCTGGCTTATTACAGAAGAGAAAAATATTCAGTTCCAAATGTTAAAATGGGGCACATTTTATTAACATTGAAAGCAGTAAATTATCTCTGCTTATGAAATGAGACTGAGCAATTTTTGCTGAACTCTTCCTGACTTGCCCCTGCACTAGGATACAGTGTTTTCTAATTTCTCAGAGGGCCCTGGTTCCATTAAGGGTGAGAACTGTTTTAAAGCTGTAATGAAAGCCATGCGTCGCTGAAATTCAAGGAGGGGCAATGCCCTAAATTCTATTTCAGTAGCTCATCTAGAGCTATTTTCAGTTTTATGTTTATAAGAATGTCAATTAACCTAGAGACTAGGACACATGTGGAAGAATAAGGATGAAGTGGATATCATTCTAACACACTGAAGCCAGCTAGTTGGACCTAATCCTTTACAAAGCTTGATTTACATAAGAAGCTGGCCTGCGTTGCCTAATTTAGTTCTCAAACATCTTGGTGATTTAAATGCTTTTTCTTTTTGATGTAGTGGGATAGGGCCGGTCAAGGTGGCAAAAGTATTAGAACTAAAAATATAGAAGGAAGAAATAAATATGCTGGAAGTACATTACTATCAGTTTTATTTCTCTGACACCTTTCAGAATTGGTGACCATTTTAGCATGTATGTGCCAGAAATACAATAATAACAGTAATAATGGCAATGCCCTTAGCCAAGGTGTAACTGCAGTTCAGTATTAGTTCTACCCCTTTTTTACCTTGTGCTGGAATTGGAGACCCAGACAAGGCAGATACCCAGCAGGTTGTTTCCTGTCATGAAAAGAATTCAACATGCAACCTGCTTTTGTCATGATGGAAAGTGATTCTGTCAAGGGTAAGAGGAGTAATGGGTGCTACACATCTCTGTAACTTAAATACAGAGCAGTGTTCTTACCTGGAAAGAAAAAAAAGAAGGGAGAACAAAAGCCCTGTATGTGAAGTCTGCCTCCACTGGACAAACGGGCACATCTGCCCAGCTTCATTTTTGAGATCTTTTACAGTCAATATAAGAAGCAAAGTCATCCACTAATAATGGTTGAGACTTGTTTATTTAATAGTATGTGTTTCTTCAATTTTGTTTTTCCTCCACTTACAATGCCATCCCTTCTGTTAATTTTTTTTCCCTCTTTCCTTCATTTATTGCTCTAGTGCTACGGGATGACTTCCGCCAAAACCCCACGGATGTGGTGGTGGCAGCTGGAGAGCCTGCAATACTGGAGTGCCAGCCGCCTCGAGGGCACCCCGAGCCCACCATCTACTGGAAGAAAGACAAAGTCCGCATTGACGACAGAGAGGAGCGGATCAGTGTGAGTACAGCTCAGTCAGGTGGATTTTTATCTCTGGACACAGGGCCCACAGCTGGGTGCAGTAGAACTTGCACAGCTTTATAGCCTTGCCCATATAAATTTGTTGTTATTCTTGGCAGTTTGCCTCTCTGGGCTTTCTCAAATGAGGGGGTCAGGCTGTTTATTGCTCCTAGTCTGGCTCTCCAGCTTGAGCTTCTTTGAGGGTTGGTTTGTAAATCTAGTGTTATGGAGGTCCATTAGAGCTGGAGATTCAGTCATGGAAGGTGCTCAGTTAGGTGAAGGACTTAGTGGATGTTTTTGACCAGTTTGGTTTTACCTTTTCTACATCTCAGTTCTCCAAACAGAGAATATCAGAGGTATTTATAAGTAAATTCAGTCAAATCTATGAGGTGCACAAATAATACCAGGGAAAAAACCCAAAATCTTAGAATGATATCAATAAAGTTATAGTTATTGTGGTAATTTGGATGTGTCTAAACGTAGGCTGAAGTCATACTCTAAAGAATTATGGCTCCTGAAAAGGAATAAATATTGAGCAAATGAGTAACACTGGTTGAGTTCTGTGGCCGTTCATTTCTTGCATTGAATGAAAAAGGATACAGTAGAAATATTGAACTTAGCAAGTGATTAGAGATAAATCATAGTCCATACAAGCAAATGGTATAAATTAAGGGGTTGAGAACATGTTTCATTCCTAATTTTTAAATGCTTAGCTTTTCACCATTAATATTTCTTCAATAAAGTTTTATGTTGTATGGAATGATTCAGTGCTGACCTTATTCAACATGGAAGTACTATCAGGGAGCTTGTTAGTGGCTCTGGATCCCTAAGGAATTATTCCAAGCCAAAGAATCTGCTAGGGTCTACTCAAGAGTAGAAGAGCAAGGAGTGGCAGAGAACTGGCTATCATTCCCTGACTCTCAAGTTTATTTTGTTAAATTCTCTGCTTATTTTGAAGCACCCCATTGTCTAACCTCTGACACTGTGACTTCACAAGCCACGGATTTTTAATTTATTTCTTTCATCTATCCTGCTCTTTCTTTCTGTAAGCACTCTTCATAGCCATGAAAATATTGACTGTCAGGTGAATTCCCAGTTTGGGCCAGATTCAGTCTGTTTGCCTCAACAAAAAAGATAAAATATGTCATTATTAGTGATCAAGGAAACAGTTCAGACACCAGTAAAATAAAATTATCTAAGTAAAACTAAGTCAAATTGCCTTGTTTTTTCAGAGAGATGTCAAGAGTGCTTTACATATTACCATGCAAGAAATAAAAGTACCCTGTGCTGCCAAGAGACATCAGAAATGTAATCTTTGAAATGTAAAGAATCTAATGAAAGCCAAAGGAACAAGATCAAATGCAGTTGAAATCAGTTGCAAATTGAAATTAGTCAGTGGGATAAAAATGTGTTCTAGAACAGCATAAAGATATTTAAATATATAAATATATAATTTTAAAACTATACAAACAAAAGTTGAGAATGTCTTGGTTGTGGAACTTGTCTCCTGAGAAGGCTGCAATTTTTCTGATGTACTTTGTTTTCCTGAAGTTAAAAATGTGTTCCTTGTTTTGAAACAGATCCGTGGTGGGAAGCTGATGATCTCCAACACCAGAAAAAGTGATGCAGGAATGTACACGTGTGTGGGGACCAACATGGTGGGGGAACGCGACAGTGACCCTGCAGAGCTGACTGTCTTTGGTAAAGACACCCCTGCTTTTATTGCTTTTTCCCTACAAATGTCATAGGCTGAATTACCCTGGGCGGCTCCTCAAAACATGAGACAAAGCAAGGGAAACAAAACATAGCAGGTCTGCTCAAGATGCATTTCAAAGCTTCAGAGGGAGACCAGGATTTAAAGGCTGCAGTTTATAATGATGGAGCTGTGTTGGCTCAACATCTTCCTTCTAAGCACATACTTTCAGTCTGATTGGAGGTCTACAGTGATGTGCATAACCAGAAATGTTATTGCAGGACAATGCTGTCCCTCACAGAATAGCCAAATGGAATTAAGCCATAAGAGACAATTCCAAAATCAAATTTTTGAATATATAAAAATAACTTTTGGTATTAATTTTTAAGAGGACCTGAAACAGCTTTTCCTCCTGTAAGCCATGACAGCATTTAGATTTTTGGTGCTGCCGAATTAAAAATGAATAAGCTTATTGTGTGAAAGAGCTTCTAGACCTGATGGGCAAGGCAAAAAGTTGGTTGTTAGGAGCACTTTCCCCATGGTTAGGGTCCAGAGCAAGAACAGAGTAATAACCCAACCTAAAGCTGGGTCCGTCCTGCTAACAACTGGATAAGAAGCAAAGCCACAATATCATGCTGTGGTACATGCTACAGTTTTAGGAATTAGTCAAGAGGTTCTGAGCAAACAAAGGAAGATCAATAAAGAAGAAACCCTTGTTGATAAGGAAAATATGTCATGCTGACAAAAGAGACAGAAATAGTGTTAATGTTCCATCCTGCTACACCTCTTTGATACAGTACTGAAATTCCAAACAAGACCCTTTGAAACCCCAGAGAGATGTTTAATAGAAATCCTAAGGTTCTTTGTGAAGCAGATACTCCAGAGTTTTTCACCTTCTCCCTGATATGGTGCACTGGAAAACCCAGTCATACATCCCAGTTTTTGCATGTGTGTGCAATTCAGCATTTGTTTATTCACTTAAAAAATATATATATTATACGAATCACAAAAGTCAGAGAAATATTTTTGCTAGACGAGATTCATTAATTTCTGAGGATATGCTGCTTTTCAGCATTTCAAGACTTTCCACTCCAATTGGTTTGTTGTGGATTCATGGAAACATGTGGCTTTTAAAGGCAGAACTATTATACCTCGCCAAAAAAAATCAGAAAAAAAAAAAAAAAAACCACCAGATAAAGGATCTCTGTCAAATTAAAATGCCCTTTGCAGCCAGTCTGTTATAGTTGTAGCTTAATACAGATGCAAAAGAGACATGACATATCTCCTTCATCAGTTTAAGTACTGCTAATCTCTGGTAATACTCCCTGTGGATAGCAAGCAGATTGCAGTCCTAAACTACAAAGCCTTAAGAAATCCTTAAGAAAATAATTTGTTAAAAAGCATTGAACTGTAGGAATGAAAACTGAAATGTGCATGTAATTTCACATCCTGCAGAGCTATGAAACTTATTAGGTTCGTCTTGATATCTGAAGTAATACATAACCAATTACAATATTCTGTTTTTTTTTTTACAGAGTATAATCATAGCAATCAACTTGCAAAAATACAATCTAAAACTATTTGGTGAATACCAAACAAAATCAGCAATAAATGAAATTAGATATTTTAATCCTTCTTAATTGTGTTAGACTACCTGAAGAAAATTGTATTTAAAATTCCCTATGGTGGTATCTTCCTATCTACATTTCTCCTTCTGTCTGAGTATCCCAGGATACCTCCCCACCTTCCTTTTTGCTGTGCAAGAATGGCATGCAGGAAGCAGGTGCTCAGGTTATGACCTGCTGTCTCCCAAGATGGTTTGGCTGCCCTGTGCCCATTTCCTGGCCCTGAAGCTCTGTGCTGCTGCACTGGGCTCACTGTAACATCGTGTCCAGGGTGGTCCTGGACCTCTCCATGCAAAAGGAGGAGACTTGCCCATGCTTTCCAGCAGTTATATTCCATTTTTGGACTCCAGGCAGCAGCCCATGTGTGAGCAGGGATGTACACAGTGACTGGAGAGCGTTATTTATCCATGATGTTTCCAGGAAGCAATGTGTCTACTGGACAGTCCAATCACCCTAAGCACTCAAAATAAATCCAATAAATCCAATGACTCTGGGAAACGTCAGATTGGCTCTGTGTGTTCAAATTGGCTTCACTGAGTGCAGGCAAAACCACCAGGATCATATGTTAGCCCACAGCCTACCTCTAATATGACTCACGGGTCTGAGGAACATGGGCATACTGCAAATGTTGATGAAAAATATTCTAGAAATACTTCTATGCACTTCATGTGCCAAACTGTAACTGCTTTGAACATATTTGAAAATGAACTTCACAATAAAAATAAGATCTTGACTGAGTGACTTGGAGAATTTTAATAAGGGACTGGAAAACTTATAGCTGGTGCTGATTCCAGAATGGAATGTATATTAATTAGCTGATCAGTTATGTCTTCATTCCTTTCCCAAATAGCAACCTTCCAAACCATTTTCACAGTGTGAAGGGAGCCTTAGTAAACATATTATGTAGGAAAAGGCACTGTTTCATACTAGCTCTCGAACCTTTCCAGAAACCATCTACTTGTTACTTTTGGCTTTGCAAGTTTTTCTGTAATACCTGAAGTTAACTTCTGCATGTGACTTGTGACAGATCTCTGGCTCCCTGCACAGTAAATTTAGCTTGAGGCATTGCCTCTGGAAAAACTGAGACAGTGTGGTGGGAACTGGTGGCCCAAGGGGAACAGCATGGAAGCCTACCCTGAAAGATTACACTTTTCCTGAGTTTAAAAACAATAAAATAAAACTGGTCATAAGAACCTTGAGAAACAGTAGGGGGAGAAAATAAAATTTTCCCATGTGCAGAATATGTCCACTTGGCTAGGTACCCATTCAATTACCTTTACGGACAGATAGTTATGAATAATACATGTAGAACTTCCACTTTTTTTCCCCAATTTTATCTGCATAGGAAGCATTGTTTTCAACATTTAGGCACTCTTAACAGTAAACTGGTAGTGTCAATGTAGATTGTATTAGTTTTGTTCCCAAGTCGTGATTTTTCTATTAGCAGAAAATTGGCAAACTTTCATATTAAAATTTCATAAATATCATATGAGCAGAGCTATCCAAAACTGTGTTTTGAATAGTGACAAAGATGCACTACATTTTGTTAGTCTTCTTTTTTCAAGCATTACTGCTAGTTTTTGCCTTTACGAGGCTCCAAGGTGTAATCTTGGAGTAAAGCACAAAGACAGGGTCTGTCACAGTCCTAAGTTGCACTTTAAAGGAAGTTAATAACCTCAGTCCTAATGTTCACAAATGAGGCAGCATGGGACTTGATTATTGTGTGCACACTATTTTAAAGGCCAATTTCCAAAGTGTAAGTGATACAAATTAGGTTGCATTGCTTGTGTTTGGGCTCATAGCCCTTGGCTGAACAGAATTAAAGCAAGATGCAAAACAGAAACAGTTTAATTCCAATTTGTAAGAAAGCTTTGTTTGTAAATACATAATATGGAGCCAGAAATTAAATAAAGTAGGAATTACTCTTTATGATAACCTTTATCATTTTGTCATGCTACTTCACCATTCTGAGATAAGTTTTCAAGTTAACTGTTTCATGTTCTTTTATTTCCCTTTGCACTTAAAATGGCATGTTTGAAGAGGATGTACAAAGGTATATCTTGTATATTGATTCTCAAGCTCAGTGAAATCAATGAAAGCCGTAGTATATCACTTCAAGAGGCTGGCATCAAGCAGTGGAAAAAGATATATTTAGAAGAGCCTCAAAAGAATATAAAGCATAAGTAAGAGTAAAAAATTTCTTTAAAATATATGTCAATTTGGACATATTAAAGATTGTTTTGTATTAATCTTTGATTTTATCTTTGGTATCTGAACCTTTTTTCAGCTAATAAGGTCCTGTGGGATGAAGAGGTATTCTTGTCTGATGCTTGAGGAAGTATTTGTGTTTGATGTTTTGTAGATATTGTCAGACTGAAAGAGAAACCCTAGTTTCAGAAAAAGAATGACTATGATGACATGGTGTTAGAAGAAAAAAAATCCCCTAAATCCCTTTAATGAAGACACTGTGCCCTATTTTGCTTTCTTGAGCTCTGCCTATGTGGAAGGTCTAAGCAGAGTCTTGACCCATTGTATCCTGGAAAGCTTTCCCAGTCACATGGAAAAATCTACCAAAACCAGATGTACATTCATAGGTCAAGACAGAGAAATTAGCAGTGTATATTTTGTCCTTCAGAACAAATCTCCTCCTGGTTTTCTTTAAATCCCTTTATTTTCCACTTACAGTCTACTTGTGTCAGTTAGCAAAAAGCCAGTTTAGCTTTAGATTATTTGTTATCCACAGATACCAAGAAGTTGTTATAGAATAATGATACAGCTCTGAAAAAAAGTGTCTGATTTGGTCCCCAAAGTCTGTATGAACAGTCAGTAAAAACTGTAATTAACATGATTGTAGACTTATATAAAAGGAGAAAACCACTAGCAACTGATAACATTCATTTTACTGCATTTGGCTCTTACTGGTGTTCCATGCCTTTACTGTGCAAGCTCATCACACCTTGGGTGCTGCTTAGAGTGTAGGAGTTTGAGATGTCTACATGAGTGCTTATTTCTCAAATGAAAAAGGGGAAAGTGCCTGAAAAGATACAGTAGAAGAATGTCTATAAATATAAAACCACATTCTTTTGCAATTCCATTTTCATTTATTTGGCCAACATAGGTAAATTTAGTGAGGTCATAATATCCTGTCTTCTTCCACATGTTCTGTTTTTGTCAGAGAGCTTTACTTCATCCAGATCACATTGCATTTAATAAAATATCTATGCCATTGACAGCATTCTGAAGTGAAACATACTTCCAACCATCTAATGTTTCCTTTTCTTCCCTTTTGAATCAGAATGCTAAAGTGCAAAAAGCTTTTAAATGTAACTATTTGCTACTAAATCCCTCCCCAAAATCTTTTCATTTGTGTTTTAATGTTCTTTTTAGAACACAAAAACATTTTTAAAAAATTATGCCTTCTATCCAGCAAAGACAGGGAAAACAAGAACAATTCTAAATCAGATTGAGGTTCTACATTATGAAGACTATCAAATCCTTCACTCAAGCAGTTGCCTCAGCAGAGAAAATATATTAAGGTAGTTAGGATCATTTTAATTAGATTGAGGCCCCATATATGGTTGTCTAACTTTTTGAGGAACACAAAAAGGGCAATAATACATCTGAAGGTCATCTGAGTCTCTCTAATAGACTGTGAAACTCAGACCAATTGTTAAATATGGGGAAAATTGAGTTCTGAGGTTAACTTGTGTCAGCACCCAGAGCAAGAAAAGCATTTTGCTGTTTCTGGCTCATATCTGTAGGTTTCCTTGCAGCACATACCTCAGAGCAACCAATGTTGCTCTGCAACAGATTGTAGGTGTGTGTCCAGATTGCATTAACAATCCCCTTTTATAACTGCAAGCAAAGTGTATTCTGAAGTAATAAAGGTCACCCTAGTAATAGCATGACTGGTTGACATGACATATAACCATGACCTATTTTATAGTTCTCTTCAAAGATTTTTAATATTCATCAGAGAAAGTCTGGGAGGTAGGTACTTTATTTACTCAGTGAAAGCTTATAAAATAGCTATATTAAAATTTTTATATATGCCTATGATTTTAATTTATCACCCTTTCTTGTTGTTTCTCAAATATATTGTGCTCTGTATGCTGTTGACAGAGGAACAATATTTAATTATACCACAAGGCTTTATTTATGGTCAAACCATTTTAAAAGAAAAAATATGATTTTTTTTTTTCCCCAAGACTAGCTCTGAACCTAAGTTTGACCTGGCTGTGCACAGAAACCTTTATTTAGCATGCTTGGGCAAGCAGTGCTCTGTCTCCTGAGAGATTAACATTGTAAGCAAGTTATGCAGGTGACTCAAATCCAGTTAATCTCACATAAAGAATGTTAATTGCATTGGCAATGGCATTCACTCTGATCACTTTATAGCTGTATAATTAGCTATTGGACATATTCAAGGGGCTTTCTGAGTGATACAAATACAGGAAACACCATAAGAGATAACTTGTTCTTTCCTGATTCACGCTGTGCAAAATGCAGAGATGATGCAAAAATGGAAACAGCAGTTGTTGGTATTTGCATGCCCTTGTTAACTGGGCTCTGTGCTTACATAGCTATTAATTTTCTAGCAAATTCTTAAATGTTTTTGAAAATACACAGTTTTAGAAGCTGATATGAAACAAATGTGTGTATTCTCCTAAATTGCCTTGATATGGAATCCAATGATTTATCTAATGACCTCAGGGCCATTTACTTTTTCCTCAGCTGGGTTCTCCTCAAAATGAGACAGGAATTTATTTTCTCATCTCCTGTGCAGGAGAATTTACAACCACAAGTAGCAATTTCATAAGTATGCACATTCTCATTTCTAAGCTGTTTACACTCCGCTTTTGTAAACCTGGTCTAAAATGATTTTTGTATGCAGATCAAGCCAGTGTACAGACAAACACAGAGTTGTTTAAATTCAGTGGGGATGAACTAGGGTCTCTAAACCACCAATTAGAATGCTGATCTGGATTTAAATTTCTTAGTTTAGGATCATGTCTTGAAAAACAAATGCCAAAATTAAGATTATTCTGTATGAGCTGAGAACAGGAGTTGGTCTAAGCTCTTCTTAGGAGAGAAGTTGTGAAAAAGATGCTGTTGCAAATTTGCAGAAAGTGTCATTAAAATATTCCCTTCCAGATTCTCATAGTTACAGATGGGCCAAGTACGTTTCTTAGCATTAGGACTAAAAATGGGGGTTTTTTGCTTTGTCCAGTTCTAATAAGTTTATCAAATTAAAATGGCTTTATTCAAAATTTTCCATGCCTAACTGGAAAACTGATTTTAGTTGACAAAATGAAATTGACAAAATAATTTGCTCTTCTCTACGAATGTTGAAGTTCTTGCAGTTTGGAGGCCGAGGGGGTAATTGGAGTGAAATGGGCAGGAATGAGAGGAATGGAGGAAGCTTTTTGTCCTGAGAAGTGCAGGTGGCTCATACTGAATATCATGAACCTAAAATATGTTGGTAAATAGCTATACTCTTTTTTTGGCTTGTCCAGACAATTTTCACTAAACTTAAACAAATACGGACCTGCCTAAAAAAAAAAAAAGTAATAGTCATCAATTCATACATTAGAGAACTCATAAATGCAGATATGGGCAGCATTTTCCTGGATCTACACTGTGTTCCTGCTATTGTCACTCTCCTGGGAGGATCCTTGGGTACTTCAGCTGATTTTTCTTGTGTTAAATTTGTGGATGGGCTGTATTTGGGTGACCTGGGGAAAAGGAGCTCCAATTAAAGTGCAGATCAAACACTCAGTGGAGAAGAGTCCATTTGCTGTGAGGTATAAAAAGGGAGAGGCATGGCAGTTGGAAGGGGAATTGGACTTGAGAACTTGCTGGGTTCCAGGTGTGAAAAGTGATATTTCTGGGCTAAAATAAAAATATAAAATGACTAAAGAAACAGCAGCTGAATAGGTCTTGTACGCAGACTTGAAATAAGAAATTACAAAGAGCTGGATATGGCTTGTACACTGACTTAAAATGGGAAATTATAAAGATTTTGATATAAGCAGAGAGTCTAGAAATGAATTTACTTGCCCAAACATTGCTGGAATCTGAAGATCTTGGGCAGGAATAGGAATAGGACAAAAGCAATGGCTTGGGGAGAAGAATCTTTGCCTGTTAGCCATGCTTTTATCTCTATCATCTGGAAAGGTGCTATAGATTCTTGAGCATGTCTATTCTTCTGCTGACAAAATATGTTTTCCCCTGCCAATAGGTTTCCCTGCTAATAAGGAATTCCTGTGTGATGCTGTCACTCATTTACATAATTACTAACAGGTGGTTTTGTGTTCCTCATTTTCTGACTGATACTCCGATTTGTAAAAGTGATGAACACTTTTTTTGTCTGCAGTTGAATTAATGGAAGCTGAGCTTTGAACACAAAAAATTAAAACTTCATTTCCATCCAACACCTTCCCATCCCCTCAAAAAGAAATTGTCAGTTTTGTGGCTCAGTTTGAACACCAAAATTTAGCAGATACTTTTTACCTCAGAGAGAAGCTATGAAAATGGAGCTATGAAAATAAGTGAGGTGATTATAAAGCATTAAGATAGGTGTAATAGAGGTCATGAGGAAATTAATAATTCTGTCTTTGAAGTACATTTTGAGTAGTAAGGCAGGAGGCCACTCTCAAAACTGTGCAACTACAGCAAAATATTAAACACCTGCTCATTAAATGAATACCAACAATCTGGAGATGTTTGGGGGAAAAATAGTGTGTGATCATATAATTGCAATCAGTCCCATAAGGCATCATAAACAGAAGGGAAGTGATTAAAAGACATGCAGACAGCCTTAATTCTGCCAGTAACTGTTGCCTGCTTTATTTTTCAACCTTTATAATTTTCTTTTCACTTTTAAAAAAAATTATTTGCATATAATAATTGTGCATAACAAACCTGTAAAATTAGCTCTGTAGTTATCAAGATAAATTTCCTGAGTCAGAATCTGGTATTGCTTGTATCTGTGTAAATTCTGAGTAATTTTTTAAAGTGGCATCATATCCCTTAACTTGCTGAGAGTGAAATATGAAATATAGTGTGTAACCAGTTTTACATGTCCTTATGATAAATTCCTGTCTTGAGTGGAAATACTGTTTCATATAAACCCAGCCTTATAATGGTTTGACTAATATAAATAATTTCTGACCATAAAAGTGTGGTATGGCTGAGAGGACAGAACAAAATTTTTTCCTTCCAAAGGCAACTTGGAAACTAACCCCAGTGACATCCTTTCAAATGAAATTACCGGTACTTGGATTTTGTAGCAGTACAACTGAGATCAGATTGTGACTCTGCATCTGGATTTTAAGCAGGCCTGTACAGCATTATGGTGATTAATACTATTTGTAGCTGTGCAGCCTAACATAACAAGGGTAAACACAAGTTATTATTCAGACCTTAATTTGGTTTTCCATGGAGAAGTTGGTGATGGGAATCAGGGAATCTCTGTCCTGCGCATGACAGTTCACAATTGCCTGAGGTGAATAGCACAGAGCTTAAATTTTCCACCAAAGCATCAAGGTATTGATCACTGCCAAAGGCAGGCTGGCTCCATGGGCATCTCATACATTGCTGCAGCAGGAGCTCCCAGCTCAGGCTCTGTGCAGTGCTGCAGAGCCACAGCTTTTCCAGGGAAGGGCACGGCCTCAGAGGCCTCTCTGCTGTCTGGCAGGTGGCTGGTCAGTCCTGGCACAGGCTGCCTTCTGGTCCTCCTTCCCATCCTCTTCTTGCTGGAGGGTAGGATGGGACAGCCCTTGCCTCTCCAGCCTGGCAGCCTTCTTCCTAGCTCTTTATGCACATCATCAGTTCCACTTGTCTGAATTTGTGGAGCTCAGCCTCCTTTCTGTTTGATGGATGGGTAAGCAGCAAGATGCTGAAAAGTCAAAAAGTGTTCATTTCAGCCCTCTGACTCACTGTGGAATTTTAATGTCTCTTTCAAGAGCGGCCCACGTTTCTCAGGAGACCGATTAACCAAGTGGTGCTGGAGGAGGAGGCCGTGGATTTCCGGTGCCAGGTGCAGGGGGACCCCACACCCACAGTCCGGTGGAAGAAAGATGATGCAGACCTACCAAGGGGAAGGTGAGAGCCATGTTCACGTTTACTTTCTGTTGAAATCTGTGGTATTGATGATTCCGAGATTGTAAAAAGTCTCTGTCTTTCTGCCCCATTGCCAAAGAAGAAAAATGCCAACACTACAGTGAAACATGGAGGGCATGAAGAAGGAGAAAAAGGACAAGACACACCCAATTCCTCCATCTTGTCCCCTTTGAACCCCTAATCTAGAATCCTAAAATTTTACTTTTGCACCCGTGCCGCACTTAATTATTACTTATATAAAACACTCAGAGCTTGTAATTCATCCTGTAAGATTGAAAACTCTTTTCCATGGACAGAGATCACAGACAGTGTCTCTGGGGGCTCTGTACAGGGGGGTTCCTGACCCCCTGCCAGGGTCCCAGACCTTCCAGGGCAACCAGAGGGAAGCCCTGGATTCCCACAACTTCCATATTTCAATTATTGCATAATTCTGGAATCCATCCCTGCTACTAAAGAACATTGTGTCCAAGATTTACTTCCCCCATTGCTGCTCTTTTGGCACTACAAATTTTGTTCCAGAGGCAGCTGTGCAGGGAAGCCCAACCTGGGTGAATTGTCCAGGTAATGGATTCCTGTGGAGGACAGAAAAGTGATGTGTAGGTGTTGTGAGCACATGGGTGAATTTATTGGAGACAGTAAAGATGTTTTAGGACTGTAATGGTGATAGTAGCCTTTGGAATGATGTGCTGATACCAAGAGGGAGAAAACTTGGCAGGAAAGTTGCTCTGTTGCACTGGCAAGGTGAATTACAAGCAGAGCATGGTGGGCTTTGCTGGCTCCTCTGTTCATGTCTGTTAAGTCTTGGAGAGAAACCTTCCTCTTGAGGAAACAAAAAGCCAGAATACCAGAAGTGTAAAGCAGAGTTGAAATCTGGAACAGGCCCCCTGTGATCAAGAAAGATTAATTTAGTCTGGAACAAACAAGGAGAAAATTTTAGTGAGTAGGGGAAGGGAGTCTCTCCTGCAAAAAGGTTTTATATTAGTTTGGCTTCTTTCAGCTAAAAGAGTAGTGTTTGGTCCTCATTTTCTGGAACTCTTTCTTGTTTTGATGCTGAATCATTATTTCATTAAAAAAATCTCAACATGGAAATAGCTCTGGGACATGAATTAGAACCCAGTCTCCACAACCCAACAACTCTTTCTGGCACTATGAGTCCTGATTTATTTTTTCACAGTTTTAGTCTTAGCAGTAGACATGAATAGTGCCTCTTTCTTTTTCCAATGTCATGATGGATTTCTCTCTTTGCTTGCTCTTTAACTATGTATTGTAGTGTAGCCCACAGTAAATACATTGTATTTCTGTGATTTATTCTTGGTTTTGTGCTACTTCTGTTGTTTTAAATCATGTTGCTTCTAGGTCTCATAAGCAGAAGTAATAGATGATGAACCCATAGTGTCTTTGGTTAGATTGCATTTCTATTAGATATTTTTAGTGAATGTATCCCTTCTTTTTCTCCAACATCTGTACTTCAGAGGCAAATGCTTCTGATAATTAGTATTATTTCTATTATGCATGCTTTCTATTCTATAATTTTTCATTTATATAGCAAGATACGTGAACATATCTTCACTGTCCAAAAAGTAAACATTTCCAAACCATTAATCAAGGAAGATAAGCTTGAAACCTCTAAACCAAAACCTATTGTGTTTTTCTGGATTTTTTAATACCAGCAAAGAAAATTGCCCAGGTATAGTCTGAATGAATGGATGGATAAGGAAATTATGATATCAAAATTTTATAAATTAGGAAAGCAACTCAAAATTATTCCTCATTGTTGAAAATAAGGGATTTTTATTGAGGTAAAAGACAAACTGAGCTCCTGTATTTTAAGCATTTTAACATCTACAATGATATATAAAACCCTCAAGGTTTTCCGTTTGTTTTTCTTCCCACATGCATAAATACTTCTGAGGAGATCTCTGAGCTATTTCTCTTATAACTTTCAATTTAAATTTCCTGTTTCTATAGCTAAAAATGTTCTTTGCATATCCGTCTGTTTTCATTTTTTCAATTTCATTTTGGCTTCATCCCTAGATTTCAAGACAATTATAGTAGGTACCTGTTTCAACAATTACAGCAGATTTTAAAACCTGTCTGTTGTTGATTCAGCTTTCAAAAGTGTCTAGTTCAGTGGCAATGAAGTGGAACAAACTGAATTTTTGTATGTGTTTTGTTTCTGTAGCTTGCTCCTGGTGAGTGCCAGAATCAGGGACAGTGGATCCATAGTCTTTCAGAAATCCTAGTCTGTTTTCCCACCTTATCTTGTTTTAGTGTTTTTAGTGACTCATGGGAAAGCAAAGAGAAAAGTAGTGCCAGTGATTTCTGGTGACAAATCTGAACAGTATTGCTACACTGAGTGGTGTGTAGAGTAGTAATTGGAAAATAATTTCAGGCTGTTAAAGCCCTAATTATAAAGGTCCCAGATGGACTCTAAGCGTCTCCAGTTGCAACTGGATTAAATGAGAAAAAAACCCCAACTTCTAAAGAAATTACCATGTTTGAAAACATGAGTCTTTATAAAAAAAATAATTTGGCTATTTGTCAAATTGTGTGTGTAATTGCTCAGGAGTATATAAATAACCATGCTTCAAATCTGAGATTAAACAGTTTATTCTTATAATGCAAAACTTAACTCAAATTTCAGTTGTTTTGAACCGATGATGTAAATCAATTATGATAGTCTGTATTTTGAATTTAAAACCTTAAAGTGGTTCTTTAAGTGACAGTTTTTAAAATGCCTGGAGAATATTGGTCTCACTAGTGGTCAAAGGAAGTTACTTATCCAACATTCTGTAGACCTGACTTGAGATTTCAGACTATGATATATATGTTACAGAGCTCCTCTGTGTATGACTGGACAGGAATTAAACAAATTATAAATACTAGGTGAAAACAGTAGTGTGAGTAATGTATGATAACTGTTTTCATAGTTCTTTTGCAACATTGTGATAGAGAATTATTTATGTTCTTCAGTGCTTAAAATTCTTGTTAGAACCTAAATTGGTCCCAGCAAATTAATATCCTGTTGATCTAAATGTTGATACTGCACCAACAGGGAGAATCAAAATCCAGTGTGAAGTCTAGGGTATGTAAAGCCTTTTTCCAGAAGCTGTCCACTTCAAATCAGTGACCCAAGACTGAAATGCATTGTGAATCAAAGGCACATGGTGTATATTTTATTTTAATTGCTCTAAAAATTCAGCCTCACACCACAGCCTCCACAGTACACAAAGAGTGGGGAATAGTTAATCAAGTATGACTCATGTCAAACTACTGGAGGTGAACAGGATGTTGTGGGGTCACCAGTCCGATGCCTTTGGCTGCAATATGAGGTTCACTATTCCATGAATAGAATTTTTTCTCATTATAAGTGATACGAGGAAATGGCACAAGGATTGTGTCAAAGTGACTCAGACAATTGTGGCTATGCATAATGATTAAGACCTACTGAAAATTAAAAAAAAATTGTCTTTATGCATTGAAATTTTTTTTCCAGATACATGTTCAGGTATCTTTCCCTTTGATGCCTTCCCAGCAAAAATAGAGATTATACTTTCCTTCCAAGGAGCTGATGGTCTCCTGTGTGGTAGGGAACTCAATATGGCCTGGATCAACTTTTCATTCATCTACATTTTAGTCCTGGTAACAGGAAGAAAATGACTTTATTTGTGAGCCTACAGTATGAGAGTGGCAGATCTATGACTAGCAATTTAATAACATTTGAATAAGGTTTGTACAGTGTTTCATGTCTTCAAATTTTCTAGCGAAGCCGAGGAGAGCAGCTGCATGGTCTGTAATTATATAGCAAGTAATAAGTACTTTTTTTTTTTTTTTTTAAGGAAGTGAAGAGATTTTCAATTACAAGTCAAAATTTATGACACACTATAATAACTGTTTAAACCTTTTATACAGAAGAAGTTAGCAGTGCCAGTTCTTCGGCAGAGTAGGGTTAGCTCAGCAAATGTATTTTTCAGTTGCCTTAAAAATGACTGAGTAGCAATCACATAGGCCTTTTTTTTGCATTCCAGCCCAGAACAGCTGTTTTAGCTTAGTAAATACATCTTTAATGAAATTACAACCTGCTCTTTTAAGTTGCATTTACAGGCTCTGTCTGATTAGATGGATATTGTAATAGAGATGAAAAGTGGCAACTGCACCAACAGGGAGAGGTATTTGTTTTATGTGCCACCCACACAATGGGAGTGTGGGCAGAAAAATCCAGAGTGATGCTTCAGAAGGAAAGTGGTGTGTAGTTTACACAAGGTATGTTGCTGAGTGTTAAGAGATTGTAGGTAATTAAATGACACCGAGCAGTAACAGGCAGCAGTGAAAATCATAAACAGCACAGTAAGGTTTCTTATTTGCTGGAGATTAGGATTGTTCATTAAAAATTATTTGGGAATAAGTATTCTTAAAACACAGAGTTAATGTATTCTATGTGTTAGCTGCAACAGCACAAGCCTGTGTAGGTGTTAATTTTGCTATGCTTTTAAAACTGGCTGCTTTTTTTAATGCATGTGCATAGTCTGGGCAGAAATGCTGTCTGCCACACATCTGATACAGCTTAAGGAAAAAACACACCTATAATTTCTCTGCTTTCCTCCATGGCTTCTTGTGAGTCCAAAACTAGGCACATAACACGACATTTTAAAAATATCTCACTGTCTTCCAGATGCAAATCTTTGAAATGGATTTAAACACAACTGACAGCAAACCTAATGACCTAAAAAAAGCTGGGTTTTAAGAAATCCAAAAAAAGCCTGATAGCCTGAGAAGTTTTGCATTTTTATTTCTCCATTGTGATGGGTTGACCCTGGCTGGATGTTAAGTGCTCCCCAAAGCCTTTCTGTTTTTCCTTTCCCAGCTGGACAGGGGGCAGAAAATATAATGAAAGGCTTATGGTTCAACGTAAGAATCAGGAGAGATCACTCATCAGTTAGTGTCATGGGCAAAACAGACTCAACCTGGAAAAAATTAGTTCA